CATCTCAATCAACAATGAGGATCTAAGGCAATGACCATCTTAGACTGGAAATGGAGGAGGGGGTTGGGGGGAGAGTCAATATTCGATACCGTTATTGAGCCTAATCAAATAATCGTCTCTAAAGAACGCATTCATCAGACTCGGTACCTCTTTTTTCTCACGAGTAGAAAGTGTATACCCCGGGATCTGATTGATAGGTCATGCAGTACATCGTCAATCCTAGGGGTTTTTTCGGTTACTTTTTCCGTGCATCGTCAATTCTTGGGTTTTTCGGTTACTTTTTCAGTACATCGTCAATCCTTGGTTATATTTTCGGTTACTTTTTCAGTACATCGTCAATCCTTGTTTTTTTCGGTTACTTTTTCAGTACATCGCCAATCCTTGGGTTTTTTTTTCGATTACTTTTTTCTATCAGTCAGGGAATTGCGGGGGTGAAGACTGGATGAGTGGCAGGGATAGATAGTCAAGTGGGTTGGTTGGATGGAGAGGCGGCTTTGGGGAACCGTGAGCCGGCCTTTGGGAACCGTAAACCAGCTTTAGAGAACCGCGAACCGGCTTTTTAGATGTGTGATCCGGTTTGTTGAGAAATAAACCGGCTTTGTAGATGTGTGATCCGGTTTGTTGAGAAGTAAACCGGCTTTGACAAGGTAGAAAAAGCTAAACTGTGTGAGATCTATGGAGATGAAACAATTGAAAGGCATTTCGCGGGAAGGGAACGGAGCTGGATTGGGCACACGATTTGGAAAGACACTGGCAATATAGCTTGAGAGGCCCAGGATTCGAACCCCCAGGGTAAGCGACGCAGGGGTCGACCCATGAAAACATGGCGACTTAGTGTGTTGGAGGAGACAGAGTATAGAAACAGTTTTGAACAGCTGAAAATTGAAACGTTAGTGGTGGTAGCGTTGTAGTAGAGGTACCAGAAAAAAGTAAAAAAAAATCCCTGTCAATGTCCACGTAAATTAATAAGCAATAATTACACGTTTAAGACGAGCAATTAAAACTCAGCCCTGAGTATAAAGGTGTGAGTCACGTGTATTGAGCCTGCTCATGTGGTAACATGCTCACATCTGTCGCACGTGCATGCATAAACTTCTTGACGTTGACCATGAACGTGAGCAAATATTTGCAACGTTATGTAGATGCTGTGACGTCATTTTAGCACAACTGGGTTAAACAGATTAACGCTAATCGGTTTATCCAAGTTTATGTTATTTACGCATTTTTAAACCGAAATTTGTATCCTAGCTCTGTGTGTAAGATCACGTATTCTCAAAATTTCTCCATAAAAATTTCCCGTTCTATTTTTTGTTGAGAAATGTTAAGAAAAGTGAACACATTTCATAGGTACACAAAAGCTAACTTTTTTCCTCATTGATTTGTGACTCAGCCATACTAAACTTTATAGAACAACATCAAAGACCATAGATTTTTTTTTAAGTACTGGGCGACTAGGTCTGGGGGGGGGGGGGGGGGATTTGAATGTTGGATTCTGATTAAAAGTAACCTGGTATTGAGCTTAAAGCTAAGTCTATATTTTAAATCTTAACATGGACTAACTATTGTGCTCAGAAGTAAATTAGTTACGAAATATGTGTCTGTTAATGTTACAAATGAAATGTAGTATTTTTTGACTGGTATGTTGTCAATATAGATTTTAGGACATACGACATACATTTTCTGTTACAAATTACTTTACCCATCGTGGGATGCTGATATGTATGCGTATAATTATGTCGTATTACGTTGTGTCTTAAATTATGTAAGACATCTTAAATAGAACCGGTCTTATTTTGTATTTATTTTGCATTTAGTATTCATTATGTCTTAAATTATGTAATACATCTTAAACAGAAGCGGTCTTTTTATGTATTTATGTTGCATTAAATATTCATTATGTCTTAAATTATGCACGACATCTTAAATAAAACGGGTCTTATGTTTCTAAAACACCGTCTCCCAATGAAGCCCGACTGCCATATAAGGTCGTGCAGTAGAAACCAGGATGTAGCGTTGTCTAACAGTTTCATTTTGTACTGCCAGCGCCTGTGTTTATCTGCAACAGCCATGTGCGCTTGTGTCCAAGACTCTAAATTTGCTAGTGCTACCCATGGAACCTAATTCTGTTTCCGGTCTAAATGGCACGTGCAGCCTTGACCTTTGTCGCACGTGTAACAACACAGTCGCTAAACAAAGGAAAGGTTAAGGTCGACGTTTTTTTTTTTAGATAAGGTGTAATGAGACAATGAGAAATTTTAATTCATGCGGTTTGAATGTTGACAGGAGGGGGAGGGGGTGGACGGATTTGGGTGGGGGGGGGGGGGGGGAAGGCATGTCTGCGAGGGTGTGTGAGGGGGAGGGGGGGGGCATGTCTGAAAGAATCGAGGATATGAAATATAAAACCAGCACAGCAGACACCCGACGCATCAAAAACTGGATTATGGGATTGTGCATCCAGTATGACGTAAACAGATGTGATTGGTTTTATATTTGATCGCAAGCAGGGTTGGGGTGGGGGGGGGGGTGAGTAGAGGGGGTTGATAGGAAGAAAGATAGAAGAGATATTTATAAAAATGATTACCGCATGAATGAGATTGGGTTATGGCCTGATAGCACAGTGCTATTCCAGACGATTTATCTGGGAGTCTGTGGGCGTGGTCCTGGGGGTCTGAGGGTCAGGTCCTGGGGGTCTGAGGGTCAGGTCCTGGGGGTCTGAGGGTCAGGTCCTGGGGGGTCTGAGGGTTAGGTCCTGGGGGTCCTACATAACTGTACACACGCAAGTACACATATTTACATGTGTAGATACATATAGTTAATTTACAAACATTTTTTTATAATCCATAGTGTATACACGTTAAAACAAATGTACACATATAGCCTATATACGCCCACGTACACACACTGTGTGTAGACCCCGCTTGTATCGTACGTAAACAGTACACTTATGCACACAAAACAGAACCTTGAGTTTACATTGATTCTCCTTTACGTAACTCAAAGTGATACGATTTTAATTCTAACTGAAGGTACTATTGATGCCCCTCCCCCAGCCCTCATCAAATTTTCACCAAAAACAACGATTAACACGTTATATTTAATACAGACTGTCAAGTATAACAACAATATCATATGTTAGGGGTCAAGAAATTCAAACTAGCGTTTGTTGACATACGATTGATCAAAGAAACAAAGCATGAGTAAAGTCCAATATGTTACTAGAATCTCTAGACCAATAAAAGCATGACTAAAGTCCAGTATACTACTAGAATCTCTAGACCAGGGGTTCCCAACCTTTTTTTACTCTAGAGCGCATTCTAAAATATCGGTAGGGTGGCGGGCACCACCTGTTTTAAATCGACAAACTCCTTCCAGGGCGTAGCGACCCTTCCCGTCACCCGGGGACAAATCTTTCGATTTGCACCCCCCCCCCCCCCTCAAACTTTCGATTTGCACTTCCCCCTCCTCAAACTTTCGGTTTGCACCCCCATCAAACTTTCGATTTGCATCCCCTTCAACCTTTCAATAATGTTTATGAAAAAAATTCTGTCTCTGTCGAATAGTGAGAGGCGGGCACATACGAATCGTTCGGCGGGCGCCATGGCGCCCGCGGGCACGGGGTTGGGAACCCCTGCTCTAGACCAATAAAAGCATGACTAAAGTAGGCTGGAGAATCTCTAGACCAAAAAATAAAAACAAAGCATGACCAAAGGTTGTTAAAATCTCGAAATCAAAAAGTAAAACAACGTTTGCTCAAAAGTCCAGCGAGATTCTGAAATCTCTCAGCTATTTTCCACATCTAGACAAAATGTTTTGAAAAACAAAATGACATCGGATCCCCTTGAATTCACGATTTTATTATCCTCAACTCGTTTGATAGAAAAGGTACCATTCGTTTTTAAAGAGTATTTCATTTAAAAGTCCTGCGGCTGTATGAAACTAATAACTAAGGACACAGATACCAGACGGTTGAGAAACACGGTAAGAATATTTTAATCTCTGGGAAATTCACATCAAAAGACTAAAACTTTGCAAGCGAAAACCTAAAGAGATCAATGATTTCAATACATACAACGAGTATACATTGTAATGTTCTTGATCACAATTTAATCAGTTATGGCCATCCATTAGTGGCGATTATACGAAATGTTGTAGTTCGTCAATATAAAAATATTACAGGTTAAATCCAGCTTTAGAGCCGACGGTATGGTATGTGAGTTAATGTATAATAATAAAAGTTTCAAGTACTGATTAGGAGAGGCGGTAGATTACAGGGTAGGTGTGATAAAATTGTGTTAAGTGATTGCTTAGATAAAAGAGTTGGGAGTGTAACAGTGTTGTTTATTTTGTTCAATAGTAGCTCTATATAGTTGTATCATTGCAGCGATCTTTATTTACATATGATAACAGTAACAATAAATAACAATAAATAAAATAGAGTTATTTTTTTTACGACTTTTACTGTAGTAGGATGAAGAGAGTAATACGACAATTTTGCGATAACATCTTGAAGCTTGGGCAAAATTTGAACTTTGATTGTGTTTGATCGGGTGGTACCGAACTTAGAATACAACAAGTCGACCAGTCTAGAGTGGGTTCGAACACAGCACGGTAGGATTAGAAAATTGGAATCTCATCCAGGTATAATCCTGTCGCCACTACCTCGTGAGTTAATTTTGTCACCCACACTACCGCCTCTTAATTAATGAAGTATTTTTACCAGAACACCAATTAAATATTACATTAACAATCTAGGCTTGATGTGTCTGGTCGTAAATTATTTGTGTCATTATGTTACAATGGGGGGGGGGGGGGTGGGGAGAAATTTCAGTTTGAGTAGGATTCGTACCAGTAGATACAAAGTTTCAACTAGTTTTTGTTTCGCTTTAATTTTAATCTAGCGCTGGGGATCTGTTCAAATGTAAACAGCGCACTTGAAACGATGTTGTCACATGTTTCTCTGGGTGGATTCGAACACCGGACCCTGACCTCACGGTACTCACCTTGTTGCCGATATCCCACGTGACCTCGACCCTCTCGCTGGTGGGGTTGGGGTTCCAGGCCCCGGCACCGTCTGGCACCAGACATTTTTGTACTCCAGGCTCGGGCCGCGAGGGTTCCAGCAGTGTCAGCACCAGCAGACAACAGGACAGGTAGGGGGTACCACGTGACATGGTCCCTGGTGGGGAGTCGTTCACGTTATGTGTGGTCACGTTATGTGTGGTCACGTATGTGGGGTCACGTTATGTGTGCTCACGTTATGTGACGTCACTTTCTTAGAATGAGTAGTTCACTTTTTTATATTCACTTTTCACGTATTCACTTTTTAAAAGAATGGGTAGTTTACTTTTTTATATTCACTTTTCATGTATTTCTTTTTAAAAGAATGGGTAGTTCATTTTTTTTGTGTATTGGCTATCTTAGAATAAATGATTCACTCTTGTTTCACTTTTTATTATTCACTTTTTAAAAAAATGGATTGTTCACTTGTAATGTATTCACTTTTTTTTGGAATGGGTTATTCACCTTTTGAGTATTCACTTTTAGTGAATTCCCTTTCTTAGTATAAAAGTTTCACTTTTTGTGTATTCCCTTTTTGAAAATGAATGGTTCACTTTTTGTGTATTCACTTTCTTAGAATAGATGATTCATTTGTAATGTTATCCTTTTTTTTTGGAACGAATGGTTCACTTTTTGTTTATACACTTTTTGCGTATTCCTTTTTTTACAACAGATGGTTCACTTTGAGAATTGCTTCAAATTTTACTAAGTACACTCCATTTGAGATTTTGTATACACAATTCATTTAATTAAAATTAGAAAACAAAACTACACTTTTAAACTAGGATAAAGTTTTTCTGAACATAAAATTAAGTTATAAACTTCTGTAATTCAATGCTGTCGAACACAAGCTACTGATGAATAAGAATATCCAATGTTGATTCAAACGGCTTGAACAGTTAGGAATAGTCACTAATGTAGAGTAGATCTAAACATTGCAGATTCGCGCTGTTATGCGTGGTGGGAATTCCTAAAGTAAACACAACAAAGATGAAATTCGTGTATATCCTAAAACAGATGGATGTTGTATATATGTAACATAGGTATCCCAGCATCTAGCACATATGTTACCCTGCTCGCACAGCTGTCGCTTTGATATTCACTTCACACAGTTGAATAAATTCATCCAGCGAAACGCGACTTGTAAATGGATCACACTCTCCACATACATTAAAACACATCGATTTATTTTTCTTTCATATTCTAACTTTCAAACGTAGAAGAGTTACTATTTAACAACTGTCTAGTTAAAAAAAAAAGTTTAGACTAACATTTTTTTTTCTCGATCGTGTTCGATTGTTTTTGTTCAACGGCCACACACTCATGTGAGGGGTGTGAGGGGTGAGCGAGTGTTTTTTCAAATTCTCGTGCAGGCGGGCACGCGAGCTCTTGTCGTGCCGGCCGATCCGTCCACGGCGCTCAAGTCACGCTTGTCTTCTTGGACGTCCGCGCGTCGACTTGACGCCGTAATGACGGGACCGGGCACGGCTACAAAGAATGAAACGTCAAGTCTAGCCTGGTGGAAAGGGGGATGGGGGGGGGGGGGGTAAAATGATTACATTTCGAAATGTTATTTTTTAATTAAAAACTATATTGGTAATATATTTTTCTGGATATCTTTTTCATTCATAGTTTTCTTACATTTTACATTAGGGGGGGTCGTCCGAATATGAAGTCACACATTTCCGGCATTACCCCCCCCCCCCCCACCACCACCACCACTTCTCACCCCCCCCCCCCCCCTCCATCTTGACACGTCATCAAAAAAAAATAGCCAACAATCTCTAAAGAGGTTTACACCCTCTTACAAGAACCTTGATTCTAGCAAAAGCTTTTTTAAAATAATTTTTTGTCAAAAAAAAAACCACAAAAAAAAACCAGCATTAAAAGAGATACGTGACGTTTTCCTGACCCCTCTAGTGATACTTCAGCACTAAAGTCCGAACCACCGCCCACTTTTAGCAGTGTGACGTCATTGACACACGACACAATCTAATTAAAACACATAGACTTTAAGGACTTTTATGTTGTATTAAATACCCGGGTACTGAACACGTACCTACTGGGTCGGTGGTCGTAAGGGCTACCGCTAGACCACGCCGAAACTAACTTCTTTCTATGGTTGTTTACTAAAGAATAATTTTACAAAACAAAGCGTAGCACCTAGTCAACGCTCTAAAAAGGAAGGGTTGTTTTTTTTTGTAAAAAGAGATTTTTTTTTTAATCTGAAAGAACATTGAAGAACTTCATTTCGTTTGTCTAGGAGAGGTTAGAAGTAGGACATTTGTTCAGGAGCGGTCAGAAGTAGGACATTTTGTTTGTCTAGTTGAGGTCAGGAGTAAGACATTTTGTTTGTCTAGGAGCGGTAAGAAGTAGGACATTTGTTTAGGAGAGGTCAGAAGTAGGACATTTGTTTAGGAGCGGTTAGAAGTAATACATTTGTTTAAGAGAGGTCAGAAGCAGGACATTTGTTTAGGAGAGGAACAAATAAACTTTGTCGTCCAGAGGTCAAGAGGAGAGGCGGGGGGGGGGGGGGGGGTTAGAGGAGCTCGCTACCAATCGGTTGTCAATTGATGCATGTTTTATCTACAACTAAATAACATTAATCCCCACACCAGTCACCACAAAAACTATCGACACAATACCACAACACCGCAACACCAATCACCTCAATATCAATCACCATAACACCAATCACCACAACACCAATCACTACAACACCAATCACCACAATACCTATCACCACAACACCTATCACCACAACACCAAACACTACTACACCAATCAGCACAACAACAATCACCACAACATCACATCAACCACCACTACACCAATTTGTAACTCTACCACTGATAATATTACGCAACACCCGGATTCTTTTGGGATGGTTCTAGACTGACGAATTATTCGAAACTATAAAAGACTACTAGAAACAAACTCGAAATCTAATGTCTATGGTAAAATATAAATACAAAGACCTTCTGAAACCAATAGAACTTTTAATCAATCTAAAAACCTACTCAAAAGCAAACAAGTCTAAATAATAAAATACAATCCAAAAACTATACAATAATTTAAAACATAACTCACAATTTCATGGAAATCACAAACACTTCTTTCTACAATTAACACTAAATAAAATATCTAACACAGCCTTTACTATGAAAAACCAAAAACTGAGTACTATTGAAACATAAGTTAATTACGGCCTAACACAACATGGATGCTATGAGCCATGGGTTCTCTCTGCGTGTCTTGTGCGCGCCTCGTGTCTGGAAAATTCCTTCTTTTTATATTACCCTAAAATTATGGGATGTTGAAACCATTGGGGGTTGGAGCCAAACACGAGTAACGCGAACATAGTTGTGAATACTATCACATGAGTCTGGTGGAAAATTTCTAAGTTTAAACAACAGAAAGCTCAAGGCCATTTAAATATTAATAAAATTAAACTATTAAAAAAAGAAGACCTAAGTAGGTCACATGTTATGCGATAAAAACCTATCCATAAAAATCTGACATGACAAAAATGTAAAACAAAGTAGAAAAAAAAATTTCTATGTAAGAAAAAAATCCCTAGAAAAATCAAAGGGAGACAATTCTACATTTTACAACTTGTCAAAGGGGAATAATCCTCAAGTGAGCTAAAAAAAAAACATCAAAGTCCCATAGTTAAGGGTAACAATATATATACATGTGGATAAAATATGTAAGAAAACCAATAGGTTAATCTACTTGATATAAAGTCAGCTATAGCATCAGCTGAGCCATGATATATATATTACAATAACTTAATACAAATAATGAAAAATATTCAAAATGTTTATACTTGAAAATAACAAGCATTTTCAATAATATGACATTCTGATTCTAATATGTGGGTAAATGTACACATTTCTCATCTAAAGTAGACAAAAATGATGAGTTTAACAATTTTGATGGTTTAAGTTTATCATGAATTACATCATCAGTTTTATCTGAAGTACATACTGGTAGAATAACTTTATCTGTATTACGATCATACTACTTTTTAATGAGTTAACATGGTAAATCTGTTGTTTCTTCCTCCTGTCTGGAGTGTTGATGACGTAGTTCAAATCATTCAATCTTGCATGAACTGTAAAGGGTTCACAGTAAAGATAATGCATTGTTAATGGTAGGCACGAGAACAAGGACTATCTCGCCTGGATTGAATGTTCGATTCTGAGTGATATTATCGTAGCGTTCCTTCATTACCTCTTAGGCATTTCTTAAGTTCTTATGAGCTAATTGACACACTGTTTTTAAACGGACGTGAAAATCGTCAACGTTCTCCACTGGATAGGTTCGGGCTCCTGTACAACACTCTTGGATCAGTTTCAGAGGACCACGGACAGAATGACCGACCACAAGCTGAAAGGGTGAGTACCCTAGAGATTCTTGGACACAGTCTCTAGCGGCGAAGATAACCCATGTAACAGTTTAAATCCCACTGGGCGTTACTCCTAACGAAAGTTCTCAGCATAGTCTTCAGGGTTTGGTGAAATCTTTCAAGAGCACCTTGAGATTGTGGGTGATAAGCTGAGCTTGTGACATGGGTGATGCCTAGCTTTGCTAACACTTCCTGGAAGTGATGGCTGGTAAAGTTACTTCCTTTGGACGGTTTGAATGATTCTAGGTAGACCGAATGTAGTAAACACTCTAGTAATGTCTTTGCCTGTATGTTCCTCAGAGGGAGCGCTTCGGGAAAACGGGTGTTCGAGCACATGATGGTGAGTAAGTACTCGTTCCCCGCCTGTGTCTTTGGCAAAGGGCGACGCAATCCATGACTTTGTCGAATGGTTCTTCCATTCGTCTGTCTGTCCGTCTGTCTGTCCGTCTGTTCGTCTGCCTGTCTTTCTGTCTTTCTGTCTTTCTCTCTGTCTCTCTATCTGTCTCTCTGTCTATCTCTCTCTCTCTGTCTCTGTCTCTCTCTCTCTTTCTCTCTGTCTATCTGTCTCTCTGTCTGTCTCTCTGTCGCTCTGTCTGTCACTCTGTCTCTCTGTCACTCTGTCCCTCAGTCTGTCTCTCTGTCGCTCTTTCTGTCTGTCTGTCTCTCTGTCTCACTGTCTGTCTCTCTGCCTGCCTCTCTGTCTGTCTCTCTGTCTGTCTCTCTGTCTGTCT